TCTCTAGAATGCTACAGTTAAAACATCCCTTACCATTTAAAAAAGCACAGTAGAGAACAGAAGGCCAGAAAGAATCACAAACAAGTAGGACAGCTTTAAAAGTCAAATTTTCATATTGTATTTTTTAAAAAGAAAGCTGTATGTAATAGAGTTACAGTTTCATGTGCAATCCCCTTTGTTATGCCATGGATATGGAAATGTTGGTCAGCTAACTAGCATTTATTAAGTGCCTACTATTTGCCTGGCACTATATTAAGCACTGGGAATATGAAACAAGATCCTGGTATTTGTTAAGTTCAGTATTAAATGAATATTTTCTCTTACAAGCCTTATTAGTACTTTAGGCACTAATCGAGTTTAATTAATTAGGTTAGGTATTTGAAACTTTAGTCTCCAGAGGATAAGAGGGGAAGTATTACAGGGGAGGGAAATATTTTGTGTGGTAGTGAGGGATGTTCTTTAAAAGGGAATAGGAGATCTGAAGAAAATCATCTAAGCCACAATTTTGCTTCCTAAGTACTTCATTTCCCTGTATTTGTTTTGGTTTGGTTCTTCATTTTAAGCCTTATATACATTCCTAGGAAATAACAGGTAAAATGAATAACACAGTTAGTATATACACAACACTGTACTAGGCCTTGTGAGGGAAATATATTAATTATAAGGTATGATCCTTGTTATCAAGAGACTCATAGTCTTGGATTGAGGGGGGAAACCTAACATAGGGGATAGTCCAAGAACAAAAAAGTAGTAAAGGGTGCGATGCTCACTTAACTTGTCTTCCTCAGTTTCCTAACCTAGCTAAAACTCAAGGTTTTTTCCAGTGTCCATTAGCAATCAATTCTAGAGAAGAGAGAAATGGGAAATGCTTGCTTCATGCAGATGATAGCTTTTGATATGGGCCTAGAAAGGAAAGGCATTCTAGACAAAGGAAACAATGTTTGCAAAGGCATAAAGGTGGAGGAGTGCAGGCATTTTTGAGGAATGGGAGGTAGTCTGGTTTGATGTGAGAATGGGATATGTGTAGGGGAGTAGTAGGAGATAACTGGAAAGGTCAAATCACAGACAGCCTTGAATGCCAGGTTAAGGAGTTTGTATTTTGTTCAGTAGGCAATGAGGAACTACTGATCACTATGACCTATTATTTCACTGTTTTTTGTTGTTGTTTTTTCTTTTTGGTGAGGCAATCAGGGTTAAGTGACTTACCCAGGGTTACACAGCTAGTGTCAAGTGTCTGAGGCTGGATTTGAACTCAGGTCCTTCTGACTTCAGCGCCTGAGTTATTTCATTGTTCTAAGGAACTCCAAGGAGACAGAATTCCTTCTACCAATGCAGGTCAGCACTTGCTCTGCAATTTGCAGTCTCAGAGAGCTCATGTTTTCCTTACTTCAAGGCCACCTCTCTTAACCATTAAGCCATGCTATCTCTCGTGGTCACTGTGCTTTAGGAAAATTACTATGGCAGCAGTATGAGAATAGCTTGGCATATCATTTGGAAGTCTAGAGTTAGATAATTAAGGTTTGGACTAGGGTGGAAGGAAAAGGCAAATGAGAAAGACACCAGGAAAAATCAGAGGACTCAGGGACTAGTAATGGAGGGGGAGGCAGATTAGCACTATTTATATACAGTAGATACTGGTGAAAGATCAGTTATTCAGCTCATGTGACTCTGCTCTGTGTTGACAAAGTGAAATAAGAAATGGGTTGCAAACCAGAACTGGATGAAAGAAAACTCCTGCCAGATGCCTCTCTCTTTTTTCCTCTCCCCACAGGTATAAATATTATTCAAGATGTATCTGCATATATCAGGGGGGATGGAGCTTCTCATTTTGCATTTACTCTGATGGATAGGTAATTGTTCAAAGGATAAGTAGTTTTCAGAAGAAAAGCAAAGTAGGGGGGGAAAGTGCCCCAAATCATTAGGAATGAATAGAAATGGAAATTAAAACTCTGAGATTTCATCTCAGATTCCAAGTCCAAGGTGGTCAGTGAAAGAAAGCAAGCTTCTTAATATAAGATATTCATAGTAGCACTTGGTGTTTGCAAAAACCACCCACAAACTTTTAGCAAAAATGGGTACTCAAACAATTTGGGAATGGCTAAATAAATGGTCCCCTATGAATGGAATGGAACATTATTGTACTGTAACAAACGACAAACAGGAGAAACTCAGAAACCTGTGAAGACCTGTATGTAGTGATATGGAGTGAATGAAAACAATTTGTATAACTACAAACATATAAATAATACTAAAAAGCAGCTGAACTCTAATGATTGGTAATAATCCTAATCCTGCAGAATTTTATGGCAAAACTCACCCCCTCCTCTCTTTAGAATGTAGTTTTGTTTTCAGATATGGTTATGATGTCTGTTGGTTTTACGTAGATGTTTTACTTTGTTACCAGTGTAGCACCCCTCCTCCAGGGCTAGTTACCCAATTCCCACCCACATAAGTAGATTGGATCTCCAAAGGAATTAAGACTCCCAATTCCCTTTAGGATCCTGGAGGGGGGGAAGCCCTGAGGTGATGGGATTTCTGTTGCTCACAAGCACCCACCAGTGTGTTCTCCAATTATCAGCCAGATTTTATTAGCTTTAAGAAAGGGTGCAGCTGGTATATAACAAGGACAGTTGTTAAACTATTCCCCCCAACTCTAATTCTGAGTGGTCTGAGACTTAAAAGTAAAATGGGACACTCGTGTGACAGAGGGATAACTCATAAGCCCTGGTTACTGGGAGTCCTTTTCTTCTTCCATAGATATTCACAGCCTGCATTTCAGCCCCAAGGAATCATGACTTCTGAAGTTGCCTTTCCTTAGAGTGCCTAAGGTTGTCCCTCAGTGTGTTTCTCAAAGAAGCTCCCAATGCAGATGCTGCCATCAGTCACTGCGCTCCATGGACGTTGCTCATACTAATGAACTCCAGAACTTTCAAGCTTTCAAAAGCTTGAAATGTTGTCACCTGGTCAATGGGCTCCCCTAAGGGCAATTCAATTCTCAGGAGTCTTACCCCACTGGATTCAACCACCACTCAATTGATTGACTTCAGGCTAAGTATTTTCATACTTAGCCCCACAGAACATGGGGGACCCTATTCTCTTCAACAAGGCACAAGATAGTTCCTATATTGCATCATCTCCTATCATCCAATGACTCAAAGCCTTATGATTTTTTACAATTAGTTAAGGACTTAGTCACAAGTAATTTACTTTTGGTTGATTGGCTCAGTCAACATATCTGGACCTTCAGTGATTAAATGGAGTGGAGTGGGATTCTTTCCCTGGTGATTCTTTCCGTGGTGAGGATGGGAGGCAATGGAATTTAAGAAGAAATTACTGTAATGAAAAGACAATTTTTAAAGGAAAGAGGTTCCCTTCTGAAATATTTTCATGAGGGCCTAAAATTCCTGATTTTGCCAATTCTTCAAGAAGCCAGGATATAATACATTGACGACTCCACGTTATACTCAACCAGCAAAATTGGAACTTGTCTACAAAACTTTCCATATTACATATTCATCAATTTAATTAACTTTATTTGTGAAATTAAATTAACCCTACTTTAAAAGGTTATATTTCATGAGGTACATACAGTATTTGAGGTACAGTCATAACAATTCCCTCATACTTGATATTTTGTTCACAGACTCAAGTTAATCCTCTTTTCACAGTTAAATCAAATCAAGCATTAATATATCTCAGTTCTCAAAGTTGGTTATGATTTGTTTACTAACTCAGAAAATATTGAGAAAAGACATGAATAGAGAAAATACCATGTAGGCTGCATATAATTCTTATAACCACATAAAGCTATGAAAGCACTTTAAAAAGTCAAAGAGAACCATACAAATGTAAGGAAGAAACAGCAGAAGTATATAGAACCAATTCCCCTGTAAAATAAATTTTGAAAGAATACAAGAAATTGCTTTAAGTTTTGTATTTCTTCTGCTCTTACTTCAGTAAGAGGGTACTTATGGCCTATGATATGAACTCCTATGCCTCTCAGACAACCCTCATTTAAACCTAAAGTAGAATAGTTATTTATGGATTAAAATCCTATTCAAATGACCGATTTCACAGTCTACTAGTAAAAGTTACTAGAGGTTGGTCAACTGAGAAAGAAGGTACCAACTACACCTCTCTATCAGGTACTTGTTTAAAGGTTTAAGAAAAAAAGGGACAGGAGGAGATGTCATAAAACGTTATAATGGGTCTGCTCATACTGACATGTCTTTCATCTGAAAGTCCGTAAATCTACTTCAGAAAAGAATTAGCTTCAAATCCTGTTTATACTTTGAAAAGTATTTTTCATTTCATTTTTCATCTAATAGCAAAAGAGCTGTTGGAAAATGACAAAGTCTTAAACCGTAAGGGTTTAAGTTAAAATGGCTAATCTGATATAGTTGGTCATCAATTCTTAGAATTTCCCTGAGTCTCATCTCTGCTTCCCTTCCCTACAAATTCTCCTTTAAAAATAAGTGTACCAACACATTAGGAAATGGCTCAATATAATGTAGTACATGAACATAATAGAATGCTATTACTGCATCATCAAAAAAATAAAGAATTAGGAGAAACCTAGGAAGACTGATGAGTGAAGGCAGCAGAATCAGCAAAATAATACGCATTATGACAGCAATGTCAATCCAAATTTAGCCCCAGAAAGGAGTTCAGAAAATGTACCTCCCTCCCTTCACAGAAGAGGTTGGAGATTACAGATGTAGAATGTTGCATATGCTGTCAGACTCAAATGTATCAGTTGCTGGACTGGTATTTTTCTTTTTTAATCTTTTTTTAAATAAGGAAATGTTATAGAGAGGGGAAACTGGAAGGGGTAGTTGGAAATGAAGGTAATTTTTTTTCGTAATAAAAACACTGAAGATAGCCTCCTTTATGGGTAAAAGGCCTTCTGAATTATCAATGCTTACATGAGTGCTAAATTTCATCAGCTTTCAACTATTACCATTAACTGTGATGAACTTAGCAAAAGCAGTATCACCAGGTAGAACAGTAAATTAGTTTATTTCCCATTGTGTGTATAAACTAAATATTAGGGGAAATTTTATTAATAGGCATACTGTAACTCCTACAAATAAAATAAATATACACATTTTATTGTGCCTCTGTGGTGGATATGCTCTTACATATCTTGATCATTTTTTCTACCCAATGAATAAAATTCTTTGTTGGGCATCAGGTCAATAAAATGAGAAATACGGTTAGACATGCAAAAGAAAGCAGAAATAGAAGCTATGTCCCAGGCATCTTCTCGATCAAAACCCTGCAATTCCAGCTTTTTAAAATGTTCTTCTGTTATGTCTTCAGCACGACTGACAGCAAGAGCAAATTCTAGCATAGCTAACTCTCGAGGTGATAAGTCAGCCTTTCTCCAATTAACAATGACCTGTAGGAAAAAAAGCAGAGAAAAGTTGGTGTACTGCCATTACATGCCCGTTATGCTTACTAAGTGAACTTGACATTTAGAATACTGGACTATATCAAAGAGCCAAAGTCAGAGGAAATAAACTATAGAGGTTTCCAAATGTTGTATAATGACACTTTCCTTCCACCACATGCCTTCTTTTTTTTTTTAACAAAAACATTCACTTTCACATACTTTTAGTAAAATAATCTAAGCAAATAATTTTCTGAGAAAATTCATAATGTAATTTTTATTACAAATCTTAAATATATAATGTTACTTCTTAATATTATATAATATTTATAATAATAGTATTATATAATAATGTTAATGTTACTTTTTAATAAAAGTAACATACACAAATAGATAAAATCTTTTTTCATTTGCATGAGAGGCATTATGGTGCAATGGACAGTGAAGTAGTCTCAGGGCAAAGCAGACCTGGGTTCAGATCTCACTTCCTATGCATACTGGCCCATACAGTGACCCTAGGGCAAGTCTTTTAATCTCCCTCCCTGTGCCTTAGGCAACTTTCTAAGGCTGTAAGTTGCAGAGAAATTGCTGACCTGCACTGGTCGAGGAAGTTTATTCATCTAGGAGTTTCCTATGTCAATGGAATCAAAGTTACAGTCCCTAATCCTATAATTTTCATATCTATAACAAGTTATTAAAGTGATGGGTGGGCTTGAGATTTCACAAAATTTCTCATGTCATTGATAATAACTGCCACAAATTCTTTAGATAATTACATTAGTGGAGATACAACATTTCATGAAAACAAAGTTATGAAAAATAGGAAAGTCTGTATCATTTTTGGTTCAGTAAACCACAGAACTTTTTTTCACCCACAGCCACAAAATTTCAACACTTTTTCAATGTACTATCAAGTCTATTAAACTTTTCTTATTTAGATGGAATGAGATGAAACTACTGTATTTCTCCACGGCAAACGGGTTTCTTATCCAATCATATTTAAAAGTATCTTTTGTTGTTGGTTCAATTTTGTCCCATTCTTCATGATCTCATTTGGGGTTTTCTTGGCAAAGAAACTGGAGTGATTTGCCATTTCCTTCTCCCGCTCATTTTATAGATGAGGAACTCTGGCAAATAGGGTTAAAGAGACTTGCCCAGGGTCACACAGCTAGTAAGTGTCTGAAGTCAAATTTGAACTCAGGAAGGAGTTTTTCTGATTCCAAGCCCAGTTTTCTATCCATTGGGCTACCTAGCTGCCTTAAAAATATGTCTTTAAATCGTCTTTTCTATTTTATTTATGAGGTGAGTGGTTCTTAATTTGATAAACAACAAAAATATGAGTCTTAATATCATCCAATGCTCTTTTTCATAAATCCAATCATTCATTAAATTTCAGGATCAAAGCATAGATTTGAGGATTTTGCATTGATTTACAATCCTAGTTTTTCAGAAGGATCTACTAGTTCCAAGAAAATGTTATAAAATGAAATCACTTCATCTTCATTATTAAAAAATAAAGGAAAAATGGCATTTTCTTCTTTGGACTCTAATACCCTTTAATACCCTTTAAGAAGTCAACATATTTCAAAAACAGGTATGCATGTCTTCATAGGATAAGTAGTTGGAATAACTCCCCCATTTTGTCTCTCATTTAAAGTAATTTAGTTCAATGATGTCAAACTCAAATAGAAAGAAGGGCCACTAAAATACACATAAGGATCCCTGCTGGCCACATGCTGACTTAGAAAACTAAATGATATTACCTATGTTCTATTGTATTTTTATTTATTTCATTAAATATTTCCCAGTTACATTTTAATGTGGTTCTACAACACTCCCACAAATGTACCTGGTTTGTTACTTTAAAAAATAAATTAAATTTTAGATTGTTTAGTATATTTGAAAAATAAAAATAATCTTTACTACTGAGTATTCAATAAATATTTGCCTTAACATCTTTTTTTTTTAAATTCCTGGATGCATACCCTATAAAATGTGAAGTGTGTTTATGGTTTAATAATAATGTATAAGTAAGTACCCTCTATTCTGTCCACATACGGTCATATACTTTTAAAGGGCCTTTCTCTTAATGGATCATTTTATGTCAAGCTGATTACTCTTCTAACAACTGGAAAAAAACTGTAGCTCTTCACATATATTAATTAAGTGATTGTGAAGCATGTGTCCAAATTGTAGATGGGATCACTTTACTAGCTGGGAAATGTGTTTCATCCTAATATTGATCTACACTTGTTGTTTCATCTATTTATAATGAAATAGTTTCCCAATTAATTTGTCTAAATTTTCATAAGATTTTCCAAGCATCACTCCAAACACAAAGCTGTAGGTGACATCAGATTGGGCTTTTTATATAGTAAGCAATTTTAGCAATTTTTTTTTTTTTAGGCAATTGGGGTTAAGTGACTTGCCCAGTCACACAGCTAGTAATGTAAGCAATTTTGTAAGATGCACCTAGTCCTTTTGATGTCATACATGGTTTTTGAAAAAGTTTAGTTTTGCTTATTAAAACACCTCATTTTTTCTGGGAAAATGTCTTGCCAATGTATTCTGTGCTTTTAACAAGTTGTTTCAACTTCCTAGGTTTCATCCTGTTGGCAGCTTAATCATGTGTACAAAGCCAATTTAACAGTCTTTCCTCATTGTTAGTAACAGTACTTTGTAAGTTCCAGTGATATTGTGGGATGTATTTCCTGAATTTAGGCTTTTTGCTTGGTGTTTCTGATACTTAAATGGTGTCTTGTCTATGATAGTATTGACTCCAGAGGAGAAAGTGAGGCTGGTGACTTTGCACAGCCCTCCCTCACTTAAATTCAATTCACTTGCAAGTCATGACATCACCTGATATCCTGGTCCTCTTTGACAGTGGAAGGACAAACAACAAAAACAACAAGTTTTGGCTACTACAGTTGGCTTCCTCCTCAAATTGATCATATATTTATTCATCGTGGATTGATAATTTCACTTTTAAAAAATTAGAGACTAAAAAAATTAAGAGTTAAATTTACTTGCTGAACATTTCACATGATTATAATTGTTCGCAAGTTATTTCAATTTTTTTTAAAGATGCAGATTTTTGGAAACCAGGTTATTGTACTTAACAAAACGAATGTCATTAAGAAATACAACGGATATTATACTTTTAACTTCAATACAAAAATTGGTTAATTTCAAGTTTGTGCACATTACTATGTCCTAGAAAGTTCACAAGTATGACAGAGCCATAACTAGAAATATTTTCAGATAGAACAAAAACACTTGCGCAATCGGGAAGCGGTTGTTGTGGGCAACAGCAGCAAAAGGGACAGTCTGACCACTGGTGCAAATCATAGTAATGAGAGGGACAGTTATGTCACATGGCAGCATGTGACCATTATGTTAGCCACAAAAAGGGCTATAATCCCCTACCCCCTCACAAAAAAACAAAAACAAACTGTCAGAGCCCTAGAGCAAGGCCCTGCTCACCCTTTACTAGTTATGGCTCTAGCGAAGGTTTGAAAATATTTAAGAAATACTATCTTAGAAGAAAGAAGAACCAGGTGTGGGCTATGTGAATGTAAATTTGATATTATCAAGGACTGCATAAATATAAATTTAGGGATAGTGTTAAAAACTATCTGTACAAATGGAATATTCACATCGAAGCATATGAGCATCACCCTCTCATTTTACACATAAGAAAACAGACACAAGGAACGTTAAATGACTGTCAGTCATGTAGTCACCACCAACTTAGAACTGTATTGTATAGCATGAACTGCTATGTGCAAAAAAAAAAAAAAAAATCCTAGCCATAGAACAAGAATTAAACCCCAAAGCACAAAACCTTACTGATTACTAATCAGCAATTCCTTTAAGCAAGGTTTGGAGGTCAAATGGAGCTCTTACCCATAAAATAGACTTAGTAGGAAGAGGCTTTATTTTCTTTTCAATCTAAATACTAACCTGATCAGCAAGAACAGCATTTTTGGAATATATTCTGTGTAGAGCACTATGGGCAATTACACAGTAGGGGCACCTATTACTAGCACTTGTAGCTACAATGATGAGTTCTTTATCAGCCTTACTGAGATGTCCTATAAAAAAAAAAAAAGAAAACAGGAAAATATTTGTACACAAATCACTGACATGGAAAATGTGTATACAAGTAACAGAAATAAATGCACAGAGCTTAAGAGTCATTTTGAAAAGAATAAAGTTTAAATAGAGACTGTTATCACCAAGGTTAAGTATCTGCATTTCCCAGTGAATTGACCAAAAGACATGCAGGGACGAAGCAATTTTGCAGCATTGAATTTCACGAGTGAAAACCACCCAAATGAATCATTCGAGTCAAAACACCTTTTCCCCCTCTTCTGAGGCAGCCCTTTTTAATCTAAATAATCCTACAAACTGTGCTAGGTAGCTTCTATCTCCTGGCTAGTACTTTAGCATGAAGGTCATTTTTCCTATTGTCATTTCCTGGTATTATCTAGAATACTGAGCTTCTTGCTTTCCACCTGTTCAGATCCCACCTATCTGACTACTCCAGCCAGAAGTTTCAAGAGGGCTATTCTTACATACAGCAAAGGGGAAAAAAAACCAGACCATTGAAGGTAAAGGAGAGAACTGCAGAGAACTGGAGTAGAACAGACCAATTGTCACAGAAGTTTGGCAAGATGGTAGAAAGAGAGAAGGGTCATTTTTTTTTCAAGCAAAGATTTTTTTCAAGATGGGGGAGACATGTTCATGTTAAGGCACAGGCAGGAGTCAGCAAAGAGGGAGACACTGAAGCTTCAAGATCTAGAAGAAAGTGAAAAGAGATAAGATCAAGACCTGATTCATGTTTCCTCTGGAAATCATTAGGCTAAGGGAATAATGCACCAGCCTCAGCTTAATAGTCTTAGACTATGCTTGGACGTTACTAACTAGAAAATACAGCTTACTTGGTTCCTTTTAACTGAATTGTGAGCTGTGACTATCTACTGTATTCTTTTTTTTTAAAAAAGGGTCCATGAAATATGTTTTGTATGACTTAACATGTATAATCGATATCATATTGCTTGCCTTCTCAAGGGGTGGGGGACGAGCATGAGGGAGGGAGAGCATTTAGAACAAAATTTTTTTAAAATCAATGTTAAAATTTAAAATACTTAACAAAATAAATATTTAAAAAACAAATTTAAAGCATCCATGAATAACTATGTTTTCTTTTACTTTACCTGTTTCTTTGTTGATAATGGCATTATAGTAAGCAAAAAATGCTCTGAATTCCCCTGGTCGATGTGCTAAAGCCTTAAAGACATTGGGTAGAAATCCAGTCTGTTTTTAAAAGAGAAATCAATAAAGATTAATATTTATTTAGCAATCACTACATGGGATTAGAGGCTACATCAGAAGTTGACATAAAAATGGTCAGCATCGTTTACTAGTATCTTGATCTCATCCCATCTGTCTTCTCCAGAAGACAGCCCACACTATCACCTCTATTCTCTCTAATCTTCAATCTCACCCTATGTGCTGGTTTCTTTCCTTCTACCAGAAACACATCCAAAATACCCCCATCCTTGAAAAAGATTTACTGGATCCTACTATCTCTGCTAGTTATCCCATGTTTATTCTCCCCCACCTCTTCAGTTAAACTCGTTGAAAAAACCGTGCACACTGGGCCCACTTCTTCTCCTCTCTCTTCTAAACCCTCTGCAATTCTTACTTCCTCTCCAGGCTCCTCTCTGGACTTCTTTTACCATGCCACAGAAGCCTCATCACCCTAGAAATTCATCCTCCTTCTGGACTTCTCACATTGGAAGCACTCTACCTCAGCAGCCTCTTTGTCTGATTGGCTGGTTCCCTCCAGAACCTCCATTTTGGGGAAAACTTCCAGGCCAACCATGGCCTGGGAGCTTCTCTCCAACCCCCACTCCTGACTCTCATGACTTTCTCACCATGCTCACTTAGGTATCTTTCTTTTCTCCTTTTCAGCTTCTTTTTACGTGTTGCTCATTAGAATGTAAGCTCCTTGAGGGCAAGGACTGTGTGTATTTCTGCTTGTATTTATATTCCCAGGACTATGTGACAGTGCCTGGCCATAGTAAAAACTTAATAAATGCTAGTTCATTTGACTTGATAATCTGTCTTCTAACTATCATTCAATTGAAACTTCTCCAAAATTAACTTGGAATATGTAATGGCCTTTCCTCACACCTCCTCCTTCTTGACCTCTCTGCAGCATTTAAGACTGCTGACCACTTGCTGCCCCTAGATGCTCTCTTCTCTTCCTTTTCATGACACTGATCTCTTGGTTCTCCTACCTATCTAATCACTCCTCAGTTTTCCTTGCTGGTTTGTTATCCACTACATGACCACTAACCTGGTGTCAAGTTTCTGCCCTGGGGGCTGATCTTTTACCTCTATATTTTTTACCTCTATATTCTCTCCCTTGGTAATCCCACGTCTCCCATGGGTTCAATTACCATCTCTTTCTAGATGCCACTAGTCTCAAACCCCACTCCCACATTACCAAATGCCTACTGGACATTTCCAACTGGATGTCCTATAGGCATCGAAAACTCAACATATCTGAAACAGACTCCATTTCATCATTACTGTTAAGGGCACCATCATTCTTCCAGGCATCTAGGTTCATAACTTTGGTGTCATCCGCAACTCTCACTCATCCCACATATCCAATCAAATGCCAAATCTTGCCATTTTTTTTTCTCTGATATATTCATTTCTATCTACTCACACAACCACTGTCCTGGTCCAGACCACCTCTCATTTTGGACTACTAAAACAACATTCTAATTAATCTCCCTGTCTGAAGCCTCTCTCTACTCTAATACTATCTGCTCCTCCCCTCCCCACTCCAGTGGCTTCCGATTACCCCTACAAATCAAATATAAACTGTTTGGCATTTAAAGTCCTTCACAACATGGTCTGTCCCTATATTTCTTAATACTGCCCTTGATGTATTCTACAGTCTAGCCCTGCTGGCCTACTTGGCCATTTCTCACACTCAGTTCTCAAACTCCTGTCTCCTAAGCCTTTGCCCTGGCTGTCCTCCAAGTAAAGAAATGTTCTCCTTCCTCACTTCCATGTCCTACGATACCAGACTTTCCTCAAGACTCAGCACAGATGTGACCTTATAAAGGAGGCCTTTCTCACTCCCTCCAGCTGTTAGTACCTTCCCAGACAAGATTACCTTCATCTACTCTGTACCCATCTTGAATATACCAATTTATGCTTAGAATGAAATCTGCTTGAGGGCAGGAATTATTACTGCTTTTTCTTTGTTTTCCTGGCACTTAATATGATGCCAGGCACATAGAAATATAGATCATAAAAACAACATAATAAATGGACTGGTTAATTGATTTGTCTCAGAAATCATTTGATTAATTTGATTAATCAACTAGTGTTTATTAGGTGCATGGTGCTTAGCTGCTAACTAACCACTGGGGATACAAAAGTCTACCTTTGTGTTTTTTTCTTGGTTATTTTTATTTTCACATGTAATTTGTTTTCTAGCTTCTTTCTGGCAGGTTAGATCTTGAATTTTGAGAGATAAGAGTCACAACAAAACTATTTAAAACTACTTGAAATTTGGCTTCACTGTTTTTGTCTTACTTATTTTTGTCCTTTCTCATCAGTTCTATTTATTTATTTCCACAGAAAGATGAGAAAATTCATCATTACTTCAAACCACATTTACAAGTGTTTTTGATTACATAAGATGCAGCATGTAATTGTAGATACAGAGGTGGCCTCAGAGCCAAGAAGCAAGTGCTGACTCTAACACAAACTGTGTGACCCTGGCTAAATGACTTAACCTCTCTGTACCTTAGACTCTCTAAGACTATTAAGTTACAGAGAAGATAGCAGCAGGCATTAATAGGAGTTTCCTCACCGAGAAATATTAGGGCAAAATTGTTAAGGAGGTGAAGTTTGTTATTGGTAGTCTTGACTTTCTCCCCTTCTCTCACCTGGGAGCCCAGCCTTCCATCCCCAAAAGCTATGGCTCCTTTCCAAGATATAAGCTGATTATCACGAAATGTTTTACCCCTAAGTATATCACTTTTCAGGTTGACAACAAAAAAGACCCAAAAGAATGAATCGCATGGTGGAATTTCAGGTACCATGACAGGCTGATGGAACACAGAACCTTCCCCAATGACCTTCAAACCACAAGGAGGCAACAACCTAGTCTGCCTTTTCTGTGCTTTGGTTCTCCCATGGTCCAGACTGTTTCCAGAGATCCTGTGGTCAGGGGAAAGGAGACAGACAGGTCAGATGAGCAGAATGGGGGGAAGGAGGAGGCCTGGTGACCTCCTCTGCCTTCGGATGATTGTTCTTCCCCTGAAGGTCTTGCTTTTCTTCCTGATCACCTTATTCCTAAAGTCTTCCCTCGGTGACCTGAAATCTAGCCTGTTTGTGTAGAGTTTTCTACTTGTTGTCTCCCCCATTAGATGGTGAGCCTCTTGAGGGCAGCAACTGTCTTTTTGCCTTTTGTTGTATCCCTAGTGTTTAGCACAGGGCCTGGTGCATAGCAAGAGCTTTATAAATGTTTCGTGACTTGACGTGGCTTCTTTCAAAGATTATACATTTTCTTCCTCAGGCAAGTCCTCCGTTGAAACTTTCCTCCAGTGCTTCAATATAGTGTAAGGGAGACCCTGATGGGTCCTACAAAGAGGCCTTTGAGTATGATAAACTATCTGCTGTCCAATGATTAGTCTAAATTCAGAGAGATTCATCACTAAGATGTGATAGCACCAGATTGGTCGCTAGGTGATGAGATTTTTTTGGCCACAGCAAATGGAAGGGTTATGGAGACTTATCAGTGGAAAGACTACCAATTACTTTTCTGAAGAAATGAAGCATGATTCTACTTATCACACACATTTTTAACACATTAAGGCATTTTAATATTCACACAAATGAAAGAGCAAGAAAAACATAGCTCATGAGAGATCCAATAAGATAAAATTACTGGGGGAGGGGGGGGAAGAACTGGGCTTTTATTAACACTGCAACCCTGAAGGCAAATTTCTTACAATAAGGATTGAATAGATGAAAATATAAAATTTCTATTTCCATGACTGATTTTCATTCATTTTGGGGGGGAAAAAAATCCCCAATGGGGAACTGTTGGCCATTAAAACCCACTTGACCATAACACTTCCTGTCTGTTTCACAATCTTGCATTGTGTTTGCATTAAGAGGATCTACAGTTACCATGGGTACTGGACATTAAGCCAGTAGGTCTGAGGTATGGGATGCCTATGGTTCATTTTATGAACAGATTTGCCAGGATTGGTAGCAGCTGTAGCTGACAGAAGATGGGTGGGTCTTTTTACAGTGTCCTCAATTTCTTCTGTTTAAAAACAACAACAACCACAACACAAGGAACTGATTGGGAGTACTCCAGTGGCCTTTATAAAGTTTTTACATGCTGCCTAAATCATAGATCCATGGTTACTTAGAAGGTGTGCTCTATATGACTGTCCCTTAAAATACAACCATGGAGGGGCAGCTAGGTGGCTCAGTGGATACAGCATGGGTGCTGAAGTCAGGAGGACCCGAGTTCAAATCAGGCCTCAGACCAAACACTTGACACTTAACCAGCTGTGTGACCCTGGGCAAGTCACTTAACCCCAATTGCCTTAAAAATAAAATCATGGATGGGACCACAACCGAAATCTAAAATGCTGGTGAAAACAGCCAACACAACACAGAATTTGAACCTAGCTGCTGATTCTAAAACCACAGGGGTTACTGACATATAGGCATACTGAGAAACCTCAGCAATGCACACCAACATCTACAAAGGACAAAACAGGATTAGAAACAATAATGATGTTTGTCAAATGATGCTCAGAGAACAGAGATAAGTTGGCTAGACAGGCAGGGTTTCATGGTATGCCTGGCTACACATGACCATGTGTCTCAGCCAGCCCTGCCTCACAACACATAAGCCAGGACTTTTCACCACCCTCACTCACCTTCCTGCTCCTCTTACTTAATGCCACATTTTACTATTGTCTCATGTTGCATTGTTGCGTTCAGTTTCAGTTGTGTCTGACTCTTCGTGACCCCATTTGGAGTTTTCTTGGCAGAGATACTGGAGTGATTTGCCATTTCCTTCTCCAGCTCATTTTACAGATGAGGAAACTGAAGCAGAGTTAAGTGATTTGGCTAGGGTCATATCTAGTAAATATCTAAGGCCAGATTTGGATTCAGGAAGATGAGTCTTCCTGATTCTAAGCCCAGCTCTCTATCTACTGAGCCAACTAGCTGTCTCATAGTTTATATTAAATTCACATGTAACCCAATACCATTGGGTGACTGGTAAATTCCATTTGCAGGTCCAAATTAATCTTATATACATATACACATATATAAAAAGAAATTTTTGTTATAAAATATGTTGAACAGTATAATATATGACCTGAGTATCACACAACTGTGAAGAGCAAATGAAATTATACTAATATGTTATTATAATTATGCTATAATCATTATATTAGAACTATTATAATTATCAACTATTACAATATAATCATATAAATATACCAAATAAAATGAATATAAGTATAAATATGATTATTAACAAATATTAAAATAATGATAATGGGGACCAAGCTAAAGTAACTAAGTGGGGACAGGTATTAAAACCAACCATTAACTATAGCAGCATTGTAGGTACTTAATAGATATGTCCATTAAAAGAAAAATAATCCAAAGGTCAGGTATATAAGTAGGCATTAAAATAATTTTAGAAATTCACGAGGTTATGTTTATTTCTGAATTTTTAAACTTACCTTTTTTTCCACCTCTTCCATAAGCTCCACTATATCAAAAGGTAGTTCCTTTTTATAAGGAACAGGATAACGACCAATAGGCTTTGTGGGTTCTTCTGGCTGAGCATCATTGGAATGACTTGTTACTTTAACTGTTGAAAGGGTCCCAAGTCTATTTGCCAATAATCGGGGAACACACTAAAATTAAAAGAGGGGGAGGAAAAACAAAGGTCATGTTTGTTTTGATAACAAATTTTTTATATTATTTTCTTTGCTTTAAAAAAAATTTTCATTAAGATAATTTGTCATATTTCCAAACATACCTCTATCCCCACCCACCCCTCATAACAAAAAACAAAAAACAAAAAAAAAGACAATTCAACAAAACTAAGTTTGACAGCACAGGCAAAGTTCTACACCCATAGTCCTATACCTCCAAAAGGAAGGGAGGAAGGTTGACTCTGGAATTTAAAGAATATATTTTTCTCAAGAACAATCTAGATATTAAGGCTTAAGTACAACGTATTTATCAATAAAATGCTTCTTGATTCCTTTTATTATTATTATCATTATTATTATTACTTCTGCATTTTGAGCTTTGCAAAGTGAAGCCACTAAACTATTCATACCCTTTGTTTTAGTAATCCCATTGCCAGACATAGACCTTAATTCAAAGAAAGACACACACACACACACACACACACACACTCATTGCAACATCTTTTAATGGTAACAAAACACTGGAATCTAGTTGGATGCCCAATGATTTAGGGGATGGCTAAACAAATTTGTGGTCCATTAGTGTTGATGGATATTACTGCATGTGAGGAATTCAGATTAGAGGAAAATAGAGAGTAGTAATACTGTAACAGTGGGGGACTTAACTCTCAAACAAATAACAAATAAGAGGTTAAGGAGGTAAATAGAATCTTATAAACTAGTATGATAGCTATCTGAAGAGAACTGAATGGGAATAGAAAGGAATACCTTTTTCTCAGTGATACATGATATCTTTACAAAAATTAACCATATATTGGGTCATAACTTTATAGTTAAATGCAGAAAATAAGAAACATTAAATGTATCCTTTTCAGATCACAATGCAATAAAAATGATATTCAATAAGAGACTATGGAAATGCAAATTAAAAACTAATTGGAGACAAAACAGATTAATCTTAATGAATGAGTAGGTTATGAAAAGATTTACTTGAACTGATACTGAATGAAGTGAGAAGAACCAGGAGAACATTGTACACAGTAACAGCAACACTGTGCTATGACGCCTCTTCTTAGCAATGCAAGAATCTGAGACAACTCCAAAAGACTCATGTTTCTTTCTTTTTTGTTTTGTTTTCTTTTTCTTTTTTCTCATGGTTCCTCCTATTGGTTCTAAATCTTCTTTACAATTACAATTCTTCTTTACAACATGACCAATGTGAACATATGTTTAATATGAATGTATATTAGAGCTTATATCAGATTACATGCCATCTTGGGGTGGGGGCAGGGGAGAGAAGGGGAGAAAATTTGGAACTCAAAAATCTTATGGAAGTGAATGTTGAAAAGTAAAAATTAATTGATATTTTAAAAACAGAATGAGTGGATTAAAGAATAAATCATAGAAACAATCAATAATTTCATTAAAGAATGACAACAATGAGACAACTTACCAAAACCTATGGGATGAAGCAAAAGTAGTAATCAGAGGAAAATTTATATATCTAAATGATTATATTAATAAAATAGAGGAAGAGCAGACAAATGAATTGGGTGTACAATTAAGGTAGAAAAAGAACAAATTAAAAATCCCCAATTAAGCACCAAATTGGAAATCTTTTATTTTAAGGTGAGATAAATAAAATCAAGTGTATGATTATTGACCCAGTAATAGCACTTCTAGGGCTGTATCCCAAAGAGATCATAGAAAAGGGAAAAGGATCCACATATACAAAAATATTGATAGCAGCTCTTTTTGTGGTGGCAAATAATTGGAAATTGAGGGAATGCCCATCAATTGTGGAATGGCTGAACAAGTTGTGGTGTATGATTGTAATGGAATATTATTGTGCTATAAGAAATGATGAGCAGGCAGACTTCAGAAAAACCTAAAAAGACTTCCATGGACTGATGCTGAATGAAGTGAGCAGAACCAGGAGAACATTGTACACAGTAACAGCCATGTTGTGCTATGACTAACACTGATAGACTAATGATGACTAATATTGATAGATTTAACCCTTCTCAGCAATGGAAGGATCTAAGACATCTCCAAAGGCCTCATGATGGAAAATGCTATCCACATCCAAAGAAAGAACTATGGAGTTTGAATGCAGATCGAAGCATATTATGTGTTATTTTTTTCTTCTGTTTTGTTTTGTTCCCTTTCTGATGGTTCCTCCTATTGGTTCAAATTCTTCCTTACAACATCACTAATGTGAAAATATTTTTAATAGGAATGTATATGTACAGCCTATATCAGATTGTGTGCCATCTTGGGGGAGGTAGGGAGGGAGGGGGAGAAAAATTTAAAACTCAAAACTTATGGAGTGATTGTTGATAAATCAAAATAAATTGATAAAAAGAAAACCATTGACTTAAACTAGGAGTTGGTTTTATGAAAAAAAAAACCAATAAAATAGATGAACCATTGGTTAATATGATTTTAAAGAGAAGTAATCCAAATCACTAATATTAAAAATTATAGTATATAATTGAATATACCACTAGAAGATGAAATCAAAGCAATTATAAAGAGTTATTTCGTCCAATTATATGCCAATGAATTTAACAAATTAAGTGAAATGGAAGAATATTTACAAAAATATAAACTGTCTGGATTAACAGAAAAGGAAATATCTAAATTTATTTTAGAAAAAGAAATTGAATAGGCCATAAATGAGCTTCCTAAAAAAAAAACCCAACTCATCAGGACTAAATGGATTGACAAGTGAATTCTACCAAACATTTAAAGATCAACTAATTCCAATATTAAATAAATTAACTGGAATCACAGGCAAAGAAAGAGTCCTACCAAACTCTTTATGAAAGAAATGTTACTGACATTCAAACCAGGAGGAGCAAAGACAGAAAATTAGACCAATTTCATTAATGAATATCAATGCAAAAATCCTAAATAAAATACTGGCCTGGCATATAGTAAGATGCTATAAAAATGCTCATTCCCTCCCCTTCCCCTTTCTTGACTGTCGGCATTTAGAGCTGGAAGAGATTTGAGAGAACTAATCCAGGCCCCTGCACTACAGATAAATTAGTGACTTGCTGACTGTCACCCAACAAGTCGTATGAAGCAGCATTCAAAATCAGGTTCTTTGACTCCAAATCCACTGTTTTTGATAGATGCTACAGCGTGGCAACAAGCTGCTCTAGTTCCTGGATTTTCTCATATAATACTAATGATAATAAGACAACTCATGTAGCACTATAAGGTTTGTAACATATTTTAAATATATTAGCTCATTTAATCCTCAAAACAACCCTAAGTAGATCTAGAAATATTATCCCCATTTAATAGATGAGGAAGAGATTTGCCCATGGTCGTATGTCTATAGGATTCAGATATTCATATGTCTACAGGATTCAGACATTCAGGAATTTTCTGCTCCCAAGTCCAGTGTTCTTTCCATGTCCTCCTGACTCCAAGGCCGGAATGCTATCCACTGTGCCGCCTAGCAGGCCCCACCTTCTGTCACATGATTATATCTTAATATACAATGCTACTCCACCTGAATCCCAATATAAGAGATAAAAGGGTAAGAGGAACACTTTGATGGGAGAAATATGGAAGAGTACAGGTCAGGAACAATTCCATTTGCATTTTACACAGAAGACACAAGGCAATGATGTTCAAACTCTTGATGTGTATGACCTGATTAAGTCATTTTATTCTTCTATAATAAGAGATTTGAGGTTTAGGCACAGACCTGTGATTTTCCTCCACTTCCCAGATGAGGAAACTCCCTTTACCAATGCAGGTAGGCACACTCTATAACATAGTCTTAGATAGTTAGATAGTGACCTGCCTAGGGTCACAGAGCCAGTGTATCAGGAGAACTTGAACGCAGGTCCTTTCTGATTTTTAAGGCCAGATTTCTCTACCAACTCTGCCACGCTGCTACTGAAAAATATTTGTGTGTCATTTACAAGCAGGGTGCCATACCTATCTTCTTTGTATCACTCCAATTTTAGTAGATGTGCTAATTGTACAAGATCTAATAATATTCCTTGTCAGGCTTCACTTATCATGATATGTATGCTACAGGCAGGTAGGTGGCATAGCACCTGTGCTGATGTCGGAAGGACCTGAGTTCATATTTGACCTCAGACACTTAACACTAGCTTGTGTGACCCTGGGCAGGTCACTTAATTCCAATTGCCTTAAAAAAAAAAAAGTTGTACATTTTAGTTATCTGTATTTGAAACCTTTCCAGCTTGGCAGGACCTGTCCAGGCTTATGGGCTTCCAGTGTATTGCCTCTAAGAAACCAAAGTCACTTTCACATCATGACTGGGCATCAGAGTAGGACTTTATTCCTATAAACACATAACAGCTGATCAATAAACTCTTGTTTGATTAAAGTCCTCACTCATTTTCTCACTAAGTACTGTTCTTTATGTTTGGTAAGGCAGAATGATGATATTTAGACATTTACAGGTTATCTTTTAGATCTTAACAATTAGATAGATCTTAACAATTCACTAGGATAAAGCAAGGAGGCAGCTCTGTGGCTCAGTGGATAGAGCAATGGGCCTGGAATCAGGAAGAACTGAGTTCAAATCCTACCAAAGTTACTTATTAGCTAGAGAAGTCACTTAACCTCTGTTTGCCTTAATTGGTGAAGGAAATGGCAAACTACTCCAGTATCTTTGCCAAGAAAACCCATGGATTGAATGGTCCAGGAGTCACGGAAGAGTCGAACAGGACTGAATGACTGAACAACAAGTATATAGCAACGTATACTACTGCACACACTCATCATTCTGCCTTGGCAAATATAAAGAACAGTACTCAGTCACAAAATATAGTGAGGACTTTAATCAAGAGTTTATTGATCAGCTGTTACGTGTTTATAGGAATAAAGTCCTACTCTAATGCCCAATCATGATAGGAAAGTGACCTTGACTTCCCAAAGGTCACTAGTGGCTCATAAGCTTGGACAGAGTCCTGCCAAACTGGAAA